CCGTTTGCCTTGACCGGGAGAGCTCTCAAATGGTTAGACCGACAGGCTCCTAACAGTGTCCGCACATGGGATGAGTTAGCAGCCAAGTTCTTTGCTGAGCACTTTTCCATGGAAATGTACAATAAGTTGGTGAATGAAATCACCAATTTTACTCAACAACCAGGAGAGACCTTATGTGCAGCCTGGACTCGATACCAGGAGTTGATCAGAAAGTGCCCACAATATGACTTGCCAGATACAAAGAAGGTTAGAGTTTATTATTATTATTATTTGTTTTATTTCCTTTCCTTTATCTGTGTTTAATTTTTATTTTATGTTTTTCATTTCTACTTAGGGTCGTTGAGACATATTTGGTCTTTGGTCTTGTAATTCTCCAGTACATTGGTCATGTTATTTTCTGCCTGATATTTCACATGTGTGATGTTTATACTTGCGCAGCAGTATTTTCTCCGACTACTTTAGTTATTGCTGAGGACAACAATATTCTAAATCTGGGAATTGGGGGCCGCATACGCATTAATTGAGGTATCACACACAGAGGAACAACAGAAAAGGTTCAGTGGATTCATAGCCATTTCAGGGGAGTTATTGAGTTATTTTAACCTTTCCAGTTTATTTTCTATTTTGTAGTAGTAAATTTTTTTTTCTGCTATGAGAAAGCACGTTTCAGATTTAGATGTGCTACTCGGTTGAAAATGAGGAAGCATTGCATGATATACAGAATTGTCATGACATTGCATAGAGCATGAATAGAGATTGTGATTGCTCGTTTGTTTGATTTCTATGTTAATAATGGATAATGATGCTTAGAATGAAATTAAGAGGAGTCTAGTTTGATACCACAGCTTGTGAGGTTTGTGCTTATACAGTTGAATTTTTTTAGAGTGTCCTCACCACAGTAGTACTCTAGAACTTGATCTAATTCTCTCCAATGCATATGTTGATTGAAGTGATAGAGGCATTTTGTTCTATTAAGCTTATGGCCAAATAGCCACTTGAAAATTTTTCCATTGCTAGCCATGTTGAGCTTGAGACTATTTTTGTTCAATTACCTGATTAAACTGTCTAAACCATTTCCATCAGAACTTACCTTGATTGAGATTGAAATGTCAATAATCAAAAAGTTAGAAGTAATTGAGGTAAGCTCCACTAGAAGTTAAGCAGTTGAAAAGGAAAAGAAAAGAATAGTTCTCAGATGAATTTAAAGAGAAAGAAAAATAAATTGCAAAATTGACAAGCAATGATGAAGGAAAAAGTGAGAAAAAGGAAGGAATCATGAATTCGAATAAAAAGTGGAGCTGAAACTTGAATTGAGAGATGATTGAGTCTTAATGAAAATGGTGTTTCAATCTCAATAATTATTCAGCTACTTTCCAAAAGATTCTAACCTTAAGCCAAGCCAAGTTATAACCTTAAGAAACCTTTTTGATCAATCAGGCATGTGTTGATGTTCCTCATCTTTAGGAACTTGAGAAAAAGATCAAGCTTATGGTAGTACAACAGCTGTGATGAAATGAGTGATGATGAATGACCCCAAACACTGAGTGATGAGTGAATATCATGTCTTGTGAGGGGTAATCAAGTTAGACTCTGACGTTTGAATGTAGTGTTAAGCATCATCTTAAGTTTGACTTGGAAATCATTCATGCTTAGTATAGTAATCTTTATGATTGTCTGTGCAATGCTATGCCTGATTAATTGAACCTTGCTTCCCATGCTTAAATTCAATTTATTGCTGAGGACAACAACATCTAAATCTGGAAATTGTTTGATGTGAGTCTAGCATATGATGTTTTCTAACTTAAAAGAAGCAAGGAATTAATCATAAATGTGTGAAAATAGTCTTTAAATGCAAGAAATATTGATTATTCCTTCTCAATCATGCTCTCACTCAAGTTATATGTTTAAATAGCAGGAAACGCCGCAAAAAGAGGAAAGATCAGAGAAACCAAATTTCCCGCTTGCGCACGACGCTCGGAGGTTGGCGCACGAGGCGCGAGACCGGCGCACGAGGCTCGGTACCTGGCGCAAGAGGCGCCAAATCGTTGAGTAGTTTCTGTTTCGGCGGTGCCCTAGGCGCTAGTATTGACGCACGGCGCGCCAACCTGGCGCACGGTGCGCGGGTGGCGGCGCACGGCGCGCTGGAGGCGGCGCCCGGGGCGCTAGTGTTCGACTCAGCTTCTGTTTCTCCCAAGTTTGCCTGGCACCCCGTGCGTGGGAGATTTAATTTTTACTGCGAATCAGCCAAAATAAAGCCCAATTGGAGTGCAAGTGAAAATAGGTTTTCCCAAAACCTAATAAAAGGATCAGAAATAGAGGAAGAAAGAACTTTTTGATAATAAAGAAGAGAAAAACAACAAAGAGAGTGGAGATTCCTTGGAGCTTCTTGGAGATTCAAGTATTCGATCGATCAAGTCGGAAGATCTTCATCTTCCCTTTCTCTTCTAGGTTTTAAATGCTACTTTATTTTATTGTTATTTTGTCAGACATGAATATGTCTGGCTAGTTTTATCATTGTGATAAGGGTCACAACCCTTAATGTGAATCCCTTGTACCTTGGTTGAAATTTATGTTTATCTATTTTAATTGAGTTTATCTTTTCTTGTTCTTCATTTTATAATTCTATTGGAACTGATCAATCTAGTAGGATTGCGAGGGTTAGGGTTTTCGATAGGGATGTTGAAATTCTAATTCCTGACAAAGAATAAGATAATTGTTCATGTACGCACTAGGGATAGGCTACATGAACAACGAACGTTAAAGGTTCATTGATTCTAAGGGTTAACTCGAAAAGGGATTTCTAAGGGATTAGGATTCTAATAGAGTTGACAAGGTTAAGATCACTAAGGGATTAGGGCTTAACTAATCATATAAAAGATGATGAATTATTCGATCAATTGAATATGTAAATGTAAACGTAATCCAAGTTGCAAGGTGGGGATCAGAAAGGTGTTTGTTTCTCTTACCGCAATATTTTCTCAAATATTTTCCCAATCCTTAATCTTTTGTTCTTGCATTCTGAAAACACTTTTGGAATCATTTACATTTTTACTTTAATTGTTTTAGTTTGTTTTATGAACCACAATTGCTCTCAACCTATTTTGATTAATCCAACAAGAGAGGAATAGTTATAACAACTTAGGTGCCTCAATCCTCATGGGACGATATTCTTACTCACTCTTTATTACTTGGTACGATCGGTGCACTTGCCGATTTTACGCAACAGAAACAACCATTTTAACCAGCACACCAGGATCAGCCTCCCAAATGCCCTGCTCATTCTTTAAGGTGACTATCTTGTTATGCCTTCTTCTAGCTATAGTAGAGGAATGGAAGAACTTGGAGTTCTTGTCACCATATTTAAGCCATTGATTTCGAGATCTCTGAAACCAAATCAACTCCTCCTTCACAAGAATTTTTTGCAACTCCTTCCACTAATTTCTTTGCAGTATTTCAGTATTATGGTCATACCTCCCATATTTACAACTGTCCAGCCCATTCAGTCTAGAATATAACCGGTTCTTTTGTCTAAGATTCTCCTTGAATACATTGAGATGCAAGTTTTTTGCCTTTGTTTCAAAGTTATTCCTAGCCGATAACCAGTTATCATTATGATCACAGCTACTCTTGACCAGCTCACTAAAACTCTGTTCAGTTAACCAGGCAGCCAGGAATTTAAAGCTTCTGGTGCATTTTCCTGCTTCAGAATGACCATCTTTGAGGAGAAGAATAGGTCTATGATCTGAATTGAAGAATGGAAGGTGGGTAATGAACCGGTTAGGCCACTCAATATTCTAATCTTCACTAGTACAAGCCCTATCCAGCCTTTCATGAAGCCTCCCACGCTTCCAGGTAAAATCAAGCCCTTTGTAGCCCATGTCATTAAGGTTACAGTTGTAAAAACACTGTTGCATGTCTGAAATACTACTCCAACAAATCTCTTTTCCCCCAATCTTTTCAGAAGCTAACAAAATAGAATTGAAATCCCCCATTGTTAGCCATGGTTCATTAACCGAATGGCTAATGGTTTCAAGTTCCTCCCAAAGAACTCTCCTCTCAATTCTCCTTGGACTAGCATAAACAAAAGTGATCAGGTCCACCTTCTTAGAGTCCAAGTAATGAACCCGAACATGAACAAATTGGTGATGGGAAATCAGAACCTACAGCTTCACCAAGGTATCATCCCAAAGTAACCAAATGCCTCCAGAAAAACCATCTGGATCTTGCCTGAATTGCTTGGGAAAACCCAGCTGCTTACTAATTTCCTCACCCCTTGAGCCACCAACCTTTACTTCATAGAGAGCCATAATGCTCACTTTAAACCTGAATTTTAAATCACTAATGAGGGTAGGGAAGCTTTTCTTCCCCACCCCTCTGCAGTTCCAGGAAAAAACTGACATAAAAATAGCTAAAATTAAAACTGTACAAGGGATAAACCCAAAACCAAGCTACTTACCTAATGGGAGGGTGGCCCTCCCATCAAAGTGTGTAATCTCGAAAGCCATCCCAATCTGGTCTAGCTACATGCCTTTCGAATGAGTTGATTGATCCTCACATTGGTCTTTTCTAGAGCTGCTACTGCATGTCCCCCCAGCCTTAGTTGGAGCCTCAGGACTAGGTCCTCCTCTTGCTCTGGTTCTGCTAACCCCTTTACCCGGACCTTCAAATACCGAATTGGGTGAAACATTTTCTATTCCAGGTTTTTTGGAGACCACCTTGCTGGTTGACTTGCTCTTGTCTCTCCCTTCCTTGGTAATATTCTTCTTGACCACATTCTCTAGAGATCTAAGTTTCTTTTGGGGACTGGTTCCTGCCATTGTTACATCCTTAGATGTTGAGCCAGCAGTTTTCACAACTCCCTTTGAACAACTGTTGCTCATAGTACAATCCTTCTCTTGCTCACTAGAAATTAGATTAACCTTAGGTTGAGAGTCCTGAACCGTGGTTTCAAGAGAACCAGAATCCTCTGAGATCACCACCTTGTTCACAGGAGTGGGGATCTACTCCCCATCCCCTTCCTTCGTGGGACTAGAAGATTTAGCCTTTTGTTTCCTATTCCTAGGCTTCCTTTGCACCACCATCCAGCTTTCAAAGGCTTCATCCTGCTTAACTTCCATCTTTTCCTTATGAGGAGCTGGACTCATCACATTCACCTGCCCTTTACTGACTTCCTCATGGCCTTTACACCGATCTTGGGCTGCTGGACATTGGTTCTGCCTGTGCCCATATAACCCACACTCAAAGCATATAAGATGTAATCCCTCGTAACCAACCTGATAAACTGTATTACCAATAACAAATTTTGACAGGAAGCTTTTTCTCAAGTCTACTTCCACGCAAATTCGAGCAAAACGACCTCTCTCAGTGATGACATCTCCAAGATCACTTTTCCTTAGAGAATTCCTATCCACCTTGAGAGTACGCCCAAAAATATTCCCAATTCTCCATAGATGACGTGTCGTGTAAAGCTCGATAGGCAGCCCAGGGATTCTAATCCACACAGCTAATCTCTTAAAGCTCTCATCATACGGGTCGAAGAATGACCTCCAGCGCTGGACAACCACATAATGGTCGTTGACAATCCACGGGCCTTCCTCAAGGACATGACGATAGTCATTATCCTCTTGGAATCGCAGCAGCAAGTGCCCGTTATCAAGGTCAATGAGCTCATAAGCACCCATCAAACTCCACAGTCTCTGAAGTCTCATCATGAGGACCCTAGCCCTCATTCTCTTCCCTATAAGCTTGATGATGAGTGCCTTTCTCCATTGCTCACAATCTCTCTTGTGTTCTTCCACAGAGAAAGTATACCTCGGGCAAAGTGGATCATCAGGAACATCCTGAGCCAGCCCTTCCATCAGCTTCGCCTCCTCATCCTCTCGCTTCTGTTTTGAAACCCGATCCTCCTCATCATTGTCTGAATGACCTCCTTGCTCGTTCAATCTTAACAGTTTATCTTTATAAGAGACCACTCTACTGCGAGGGCCAACACTAACCTCTGTCAGCTTCTCACCTGATAACAATGGGGAATGATGATCTGGTTCAGACACAGCCTCACCCTCCTCGTTCATGTTGTCATCCATCGATGCATCATCCATCGCAGCACCTTTGGGCTTCTTACCGCCTCTAGGAGGGGAATCCACCGCCAGATGAACTCTCCCTCTCGACGCCCTTGTCCCATCCTCATCCGTCGGTGCAGATTGGTCATCCATTTCAGTCTCCATCGAACGCTAGTTATTGAAGCTCAACCCTAGCAGAAGGGGAAAATTTCGCGCAAATGGCTCTACGCGCGTTTTTACATTAGTTAAATTTTAACGATTTAATAAAGCAAATCTCTTTCAATTACATCAACATTCCTCCTCCTTATCCCATTTCTTTTAGGGGGTATTTAGTAGAGGAGAAAAAATTTTTTACTAGGAAAATATGATTACTAGGAATATGATAAGAAAGTGAGTTTGGTAGAAAAGTTAAAAAAAAAATTTGTTTAGTAGGCCAAAATATTACCGAAAAAATTAGATTAAATTTTATGACTCTATGTTTGATTAAAGGTAAAATATTGATGGAAAAATAGATTAAAAAGATAAAAATAACCCTTTTATAATTTTTGAAAACATTACTCTCAGATTTATCACAAGTGAAAACCTTCTGCAAATTTGCGATCAAGACACATGATTCCTGACCCTTTTAAAACCTTCTGCAGATTTATCACAAGTGAAAATAACCCTTTTAAAATGAGATTATGTTGCCATTTGTAATCAAAGTCAAACACACGAAGTATTGAAGAGACTCCAAATTTGCATCTCCAAATTTACGTATCAAGGACATTTCCGTCTCCAAATTTGCTCTCCATTTTTTCTTTTCCCACCAAATCAAAATATCACCTTTCATTTGATTTTTTGAAACAGTATTTTTCATCAAATTTTGCAAACAAATCAGTGTACGGGTAAAGCATTTGCATGGTTAATTTTTTTTGAAACTTCTACCAAACATAGTTAAGTTAAAATATCATGGTTATCTCTACCAAAAACTCCTATCAAAATTTACAAAAAAAAAAAAAAAAAAAAACTCCTATCAAATACTCCCTTAAAAACATTGATCAATTTACCATCTTTTAAAAAAATTTATCAAAATATCACATAAATAGTAAAATGTTTCAAAATGTAACGTGTATAAATTTGCTACATCAAGATGTGACATATTTTTATTTACTGTCAAATCAACATGTACATGTGGCATTTTAAAAAAAATTATTGTTTGCGTGCGATATGGTTATGATTTGAGGAATGTTATATTTACAATATTTTTTTTACAACTTCTTACAACTATATCTTAACACCGTTGATTTTCGTCAATCAACAGTTATGATTTTCGCAAATTAAACTCATTAATTAATTATTAATTCACAATAAATGATAACCGTTGATTGACAGAAATCAACGATATTAAGATATGGTTGTAAGAGATTGTAAAAAAAAAAATTGTAAGTATAACCTTTCTCTTTTTGTTTTGAAAAGTGGCAAATTTGTCTTCCTTCCTTTTAATTGAAGCGGTGGGGAGAGAATAATTCTTTGGTGCTACTGTTGCACCAAGATTTAGTGTATTCCATTAATAGAAGCATTACACATTATAGGAGAGATAAAAATCTGGCAAAGAAAAGAAAATTTTAACTAATATATAATATTTTTATTGATGAGATGTACATCTTTTTTTTTTGAAACATGATGAGATGTACATCTTTGATGCAACTGTATCACCAAAAATTTATTCGAAAGTTGGTTTTCTAAATATAGATTCGCATGTGCACAGATTTCAATGTTGTCTCTTAAAGATGATGCGCATATATCCATTCCCTTCAAGGACAATTTCAAATGATACCTGACCTCCTTTATCGAATCCTTTCATTTTTTGAAGCAGCTCGAATCTTTGGGAGATGAGAAATTATTTTTTATTTGAAAATTATAATTCTTAGAAATATAGTAAAAAAATGAGTTTCTCAAAAATATTATTAACAAACTGTTTGATAAATCAAAATATCTATGAAAATGTTAAATTAATTTTCTTGATATTATGTTTGATTGATTGCAAAATATTACTAATATCATGAATTAAGGTTAATTATGTCTTAAAAAAATTATCAAATATTTCCATCATATAAGATTCTCAAAACACCACCTATTTAATGGTATTTAAGATAGAATTTTTTTTCATAAACATGAATTTCGGGAATCGGATTTTTTCGGGAAAAATTTTACAATCCTCCTACTAAGTGTGGGCCACTAAAGCACGGACACGCTGATCAAACAAAATTTTGCGTGTCGGACACGTGTCCGACACGGACACGCTCCAACACGCTCGGACACGCGTCCGACACGTGGTCAACATTTGGGGACACGCGGTCAACTCTCCGACACGTTCCGACACGTTTTTTGGACACGCAGTCAACTTTTTTGGACTCGCAGTCAACGCTAGGACACGCTCGGACACGTTTTTTTTTTTTTTAAATCTTAATTTTATTTTGTTAACTAAATATAAAAGAAATAATTTATAAATTAATTTTTTTCTGTTATGAAATTTGACATGAAAAATTAACAAAGTACGAAAAATTATTTATATTTATATCTATGTTATGAAATTTAAATATTTGATTGGTTATATGACTTATTATGGACTCTTATATGTCTTAAATATAAATTATATTATATATATTAAAAATTTATTTAATATCAAAACGTGTCCCAACGTGTCCAAATATGACATTTTTTAGAATTAACGTGTCGGCGTGTCGTGTCGTGTCGTGTCCCGTGTCCGTGTCCGTGCATCATAGGTGTGGGCAAATCGAATTCCCAATCTAACTTTCCCAAAATTTTAAAATATTTCCTTCTACCAATTACATCCTAAAATCAACAATGCAGAGTTTAACTCTAATGAATTTGTTTCTAGAGAGGTCTTTTTTAGTTTTTCTCCTTCTTATAAACAAAAACTAAGCTAAATAGAATTTTACAAAAGTTCTTGTAAAAAAGAGCTTTTTATAATAAAGAAAAAAGCCAAAAATCAAAAGCTCCTAAGAAAAGCTTTTTTAAAATTATATCAACTTTTTATGAAATGAATAATTTTTAAATAACTTTTAAATTAATTTTTTATTTAATTATTAAACAACTTTTAACTTTATTTTGTAAAATTCTTTTTTTAAGCTTTAATTTAAAAGTAGCTTTTGTTTACCAAAAACAAATAGCTTTTAGCTTTAAAAAAATTTAAAACATTTTATTAATTTAACATTTTTCAATTCAATTCTCTAGGAGGCCTATTAGATCGGGAGAAAACAAATAAAAGTGTCCTGCCCCTATTACTAAATATAATAATTAACGTAGAAGTATTTTACTCTAAACTTTGGAATGGATCAAAGTTTCTTCCATTATATTTATATGTAAGAAAATGTTAATTATTTTTTTATACATGTTAAATATACGGAGAACTTATTAAAATTTGTAAAAAAAGTGTTCATAAAGAAATAGACACGAAACTTTTACATAACACCGTATGTATGCGAAAAGCATGAGAGTATAAAAAAATCAAAAACTAATCTGCCTTTTACGGCTTTTGTTTATTTATTAAAAAAAACTTATTAAAATATTTTAAAGTGTAATTCAAAACATGAAATACAAGTAGCAATTATTGATTGAAAATTAAGAAAAAAAATTCATTCATAACGTAATGTATTTTTCATCTACTTTAATTTTATAAAATTTCAAATTGTTGATTTTCTTTTTTCTTTTTTTTGTAAAAAAATTGTTGATTTTCTATCAAATGACTATCAATATTCTAAAGTTTGTTCAAATACCCAAGTCAATAAAATAATATCAAATAAAATATAATAAAACAAAAAACGGTCTATTTCTTCTCTTACCCAAAAAAAATAAAATAAAGAGCAAAAAACTGTCTATTATTTTTAGGAATGAATCCTCTCGTGTGAAAAAGTGATGTGGTTATGTTATTTGATCACAACTACTCATTTAAAAAATATACATTTTTCTCTCTCTTATCTTATCACCAATGAGTGGTGGTGATCAAATAACATGACCACTTTTTCACATGAGAGGATCTACTCCCATTATTTTTTGGACGGAAACGTGGTGTCCGGAAAATTTTTCAATTTATGGAATAGCTACTCCCCTAAATATGCTCGTGGTATCCCACGCAAATCTCATGATTCGGATGGCATCTTCCCCCTCAAATTATTTGTTGTGAACGTTTAGGTGGTCCCTTAGTGTAAATAGGAGGGTAAATTTAGAAAAGAGAGAAAATAACAGAATAAAAAGAGAAAGTAAAAATTAATGATGTGAGAGGGAGCACCAAAAGATTCAATGGTCCTGAACTATATTAAATATTTCCCTTCCCCCTTGACAGTGTGGTCTCGCCTGTTTCAAAGTTATGTTTATTTGAAGACTAAAGCTTAATTTTGGGTTCCTAACAAAAATACGGTATCCACTTTTATTTCTTATAAAAAAAATTTAGTCTTGAGGTTCCTAAAAAATTCAAAGTTGACTCATTTAGTTGAAATTGTAATCCCTTACAAATTCAAAAAGACCTACATTAGTCTCTCAAAAGGACTAACATGGGTCCACTTTGAATTTCATAGGAACCAGCCGACTAATAATTTTTTTGTAAAGTACTAAAATGAGGACTGTGTTATTTTGTTAGGGATCCAAAATCGACTTTACTCTTATTTGAATTTTCTTGGTTGGCAACCACGAAGCCCAATAACAATGAAATTGAATTTCGTTAGAACTTAGAATAAGTAATTCCGAATTCCAAACTAGACCATTTGCATTTATTTAAACGGGAAAGAATATTATAACAACCAAGTTGTGTTATTATCATGTTACTACTAATCAATCTTACCATTAAATCGATTATGTTGATCCAACGGTTATATTTATTTCCATCTTTGTATGGTCATGATTTCCCAAATTTAAAGTGAAAGCATTAAATATGAAAAATCATAACCATACAAAGGTGGAAATAAATATAAAGTATTAAATTTGGGAAATCATGACAATACAAAGATGAAAATAAATATAACCGTTGGATCCACATAATCGATCTAACAGTGAGATTGATTGGTAGTAAATTGGTAGTAACGCAACTTGATTATTACAATATTCTTCCCCTATTTAAATAAACAAAAATTTTAAGAAGTTATGAATAAAAATTTATTACTTCATAT